GGAGCCGAGGGCCAACAGTTTTAGGTAGGCAAGCGGCCATTGGCTGTGGGCTCTAAAGGCGTGTCTGATTGGTTGGTAGTGAGCCAACCGGCGTTCGGAGTGAAGGGCTCACTGCGGAAACCTTGCGGAGGCTCTGGAGAGCCGGCGCAGGACGTAGGGCAGCGGCTCATTGGCGGCTGCGAACAGCTCGCCCATTGGAGGCGAGTGGTCAGCTTAGGTGACGGAGGCCTTTAATGGAGTAACCCGGACCAGGCCGGCTGCTGATTGGCTGGGTTCTCTCGAAGTCTCGTGGGCGGGGCTCCTCGCGGAAGCGCGGTGGTGGGGGTTGCGGGGCGACTGGCTTCTCCCCAGCGGCCGGAGTCACGTCCGCACTTACGCGGTCCCCTCTCACGCGGTCTGCACCCAGGCTGGTGACTCCTCCCTGGACACGCTCTAGACACGGTGTCAGCGCGTGGGCCGTTGACCTTCCGGTTCTGGGAGTCGACCCCGGTCCTCCTTCCCCAGACGGGCTTGCGTTCTTACCTCCAGTCCTTTGCAAAGAACGCTTTCTCTGTGCCTGGGAAGTCACACAAACCAGTAAAAATTATAAGGCAGACGGATTAGGGTCTTAGAGAAGGGCAGTGCCTAAAACGTAGCACTTGGTGATCGGTCGCTGCTGTCATCACCAGTAACTAGGTAATACCTTTAATCAAGGCACGACATCAGTGAAGGGCATAAATCTTAAGTGTGCGGCTTGATGGAATTTCTACATTTGTGTGCACATGTGTACACCTACCCAGATCAAGATACAGTATTCCCAGCACTCCAGGAACCTTTGCACTCCTGCAGTTACAGTGACTTCTGTCACCATGGAGTTACAACCTTGACCTGTTACAGACGGTCCTACAAACAGGATCCTACCGCACGTTCCCTGACTCAACATAATGTCTGAAATCCAACCTCCATTTATTTTGATTTTATCTAATTGTCACGAGCCATTGGAAGAATATACCCTCAGTTTAGTTGTTCTCCAGCTGACGGAACTGTGGGGCTCCTGCATGGCTTCTGTAAACGTCTGGAGTGTTCTGTGCATTCACATGTGGGCACAAGTGCTCCGTTCTTTCAGGTATGTGCTTAGTGGGGAAACTGCTGGGTCAAAGCGAAGGTGGATGTTCACCGCTGCCGTTAGCAGGGCCAAGTGTCAGAGCAGTGGCTCTGTGTTCTGAGCGCCTTTGCTATGCCCAGTCGTCCAGGCCCCCAACTCCTAGCTTGTAGACCCCAGTTCTCCATAGTCTTCCCTGGATACACCACACCCACACTCCCAAACCTGTTAGGCGAAGCCTGGCGGCCCCGCTAACACAGAGCAGAGCCTGTGGAGAGCCTCGCCTAGAGCACTCCTGTCCAGAAGGAGCTCCCCTCTCTGCCCGGCCTTCCTCCTTGCTTTCCACGGTTGAGCTGACCCTAGGAAGAACTGAGTTTGACAGAAGGTCACAAACCCCACTTTTTAAAAAATTATTTAATTTTATTCATTGTTATTTTAAAATTTGACCAGAGAGAAAGGGAAAGTGAGAAAGCGAGCTGCCAGGTCTAGGACACAAACCATGGTCAGCCATGTGGGAGTCCAGTGCCTAGCCACCAATGCCACCTGCTGGCCCTCACATAAACCCCACTATTTTTTTTTTTTTTGAGAGATTTTCGCTATAGGGCGCGTGCACTTGCCAGACAGACAGAGAGAGACAGAGAGACAGAAAGCGAGAAATCACCCCCCGAGAGGGGATGGCCACACCGCAATCCCTTCTCCTCCATTCTCTTCTTGGGATCTTGGTTATGCATGCACACGTCCGGGACTCGAACCTCAGTCGACTACGTAGGAGTCCAGCGACATAGCTATTACGCTAACTGCTGGTCCCATAAATCCCACTATTTTTGAGAGAGAGATTTTTGCTATAGGGTGTGTGTGCTTGCCAGAGAGACATGGAGACACAGAGACAGGAAGTGAGAAATCACCCCCCATAGGGAATGGCCATGCCGCAGTCCCTTCTCCTCCAGTCACCTCTCGGGATTTGGGGGATGCATGCACACATACCCAGAGTGAGTTTTAAGTCACTGGGTCCAGGACTCAAACCGTGGTCAACTACGTGAGAGTCCAGTGTAGAACCCATTAGGCCAGCAGGTGATCCTGCTGGCCCCACAAACCCCACTTTACCACTCAGCAGCATTTGGTTTCAGGTGCTGGTCGGAATGGGGGGCACTGCTGTTAGCCATGGCCGGCTCCTGCAATACCTGCCAAGTTGCCCCGGCTTCCCGGGCGCTCGGTGAGCATCAGGCCACTGGGCTGTGCTGCTTGCAGCCTGCATGCCCTTGTCTGAACCACGGGGCAGTCTTGAGAGGCAGTGACTACTGGTGTCCTCATTCCTAGATAAGGGGAATGAGCCACACAGGGTCACCAGCTAGACGATGCAGAGCTGGGATGAAGCTCAGCTGATCCCTAGGCCAAGCTGCACCACCCTGGTCAGGGTAGCATCTGCTCAGAGTGCCTGTGTGTGCAGGAGGTAGGTGCTGAGCTGGCAGAGTGGGAGAGGCGGAACGTCAGTGTGAGGGATGCTGCTTATAGACCGTCCTGGAGGAGGCTGAAGGATCTTAAAGGAAGCCCTTTAAGGAGGAGGACTGCCCTTGGATCGGCACAGGGTAAGGTGGCATAGTATCTGGATAGGAGAGGGACATGTACCCAGCACACAGTAGGTGCTAAGCATATACCTGTAAGTGGGTGGCACAAGTGTCCCCAAAAGTGACAAATGTGTGCAAGTGGATAGTTTTAGGTAGCACAAATCTTTTTTTTCTTTTTTTGTGACAGGGTCTTGCTCTGTTGCCCAGGCTGGCCTTGAGCTTGTAGTCCTCCTCCCTCATCTTCCTGAGGAGCTTGGACTATGGGCATACACCACTTTTTCATCTTTCTTCTCCCTTTCTTCCTTTCTTCCCTCCCTCCCTCCTTTCTCCTTCCCTCCTTTCTCCCTCCCTGCCTCCTCCCTCCCTCCCTTCTCCCTCCCTCCCTTCTCCCTCCTTTCTCCCTCCCTTCTCCCTCCCTCCCTTCTCCCTCCTTTCTCTCTCCCTTCTCCCTCCCTCCCTTCTCCCTCCCTTCTCTCTCCCTCCCTCCCTTCTCCCTCCCTCCCTTCTCCCTCCCTCCCTCCCTTCTCCCTCCCTCCCTTCTCCCTCCCTCCCTCACTTTCTCCCTCCCTCCTTTCTCCCTCCCTCCCTCCTTTCTCCCTCCCTCCCTTCTCCCTCCCTCCCTTCTCCCTCCCTCCTTTCTCCCTTCCTTCTTTCTTCCCTCCCTCCCTCCTTGCTCTCTCTCTCTTTCTCTTTTTCTATGTATTGTCCTTCCTTGAGTAAGACAGAGAATGTCCTCAGCAGGGTCTTGTCACCGTGATCTGCTCTCGGCCAGTCCTGGGTCCTCTTGCCAGGCACTTACGGGGAGGCCTCCGGACACACGAGCCTGGAGCCTCCCCTTGGGGGGTTGCCTCCCAGAATGGTGCGTCTTGCTGCGTGCCATGGCATGGCCATCACGTTACTGTTTAATTTGCTAGAGGACATGTGTGCTCACGGGAGAAAGATGGGGGAGAGCACGCCCCTGTGGGAGCCACTCCACAGTCACTTCTCCACCCGCTCTCTGGTTTGGGCACGCGTGCCCTGGTGTGTCTACAAGTCACTGAGTCTAGGTCAGACCACACGGTCAGCTGTGGCCAGCCCCACTTTATTTTTTTCTTTTGCTAAAGGTGTGTGCTTGCTGAGAGACACAGAGAGAGGAAGAGAGCAGTCACCCCTGGGGGCGGCCAACCCTCACTCCCTTCCCCTCACCCTCCCCTTGAGATTTGGGGCGTGGCTAGCGCACCTGTGAGTCCTGGACCAGCGGCCTGATGAGAGAAGTGAAGACGGGCCTCTGATGTGGACATCCGCATTGGCACTGCCCTGCGTTCACCCTCTCCCTCGCTCCTTTCTGGCAAGTGCAGACGCCCTCTCCCAATTAAAAGGAGGGAAGGAAGGAGAAGAAAGACAAGCACCCTCAACAGAGCCTCAAGCCATAGCCTTCCCCACAGCCCCCAGTCCCCCAGGGTCACAGGCAACTTCGAAAACAAAATAATGACAATGAGCACAATTAAATGAAATAATTCTTAAAATAAAATAAAATAAAATAAAAGGAACGTGGACTTGAGTGGTCAGAGTAGCACTGTTCACGATAGCCGGAACGGTGTGAGGAGTAAATAAAAAGCGGTTTGCTCAAGCAGCGGGGCACCGTCCAACCCCAGCCACGGTGCTGACAGGCTACAACGTGAGCCTGGGCCGGGTGGGGCAGTCCGGGCATAAAAGGTCACGCGGGATTCATTCATGAGGAGTCTTCGAAAAGGTTATGGAAATGTGCATTATGAAAAACAACTATGCACGAGCTTCGATTTTTTGCACCGAAATAAATTCCTTGTTGTTGCTGTTGCTATATGCTACATGGACTGAGACAAGGGGGGTGAAGTGAGGAAGTGCTCCCCCGCAGGGTGAGAAGCCTCCCTGCAGTCCCTTCTCCCTTCTCCTCTCAGGATTTTGGGCAGGATACACATGAACCCAGTGTGATTTTGAGGTTTCCAGGTCTAGAACGTGCACTGTCAGCCATGTGGGAGCCAGCCCCCTTCACCATGCCACCTGCCGGCCCCCAGAAATTCGTTTTTGTTTTTTTTTCCCAGTGAGAGGTTTTTGCCATAGGGCGTGTACACTTGCCAGAAAGACAGAGACAGAGAGCGAGAAATCACCTCCCAGGGAGTGGGGGGGAAGGCCACGCCACAATCCCTTCTCCATTCTCCTTTTGGGATCTTGGGCATGCACGCACATGCACCCAGTGTGAGCTTAAGTCACTGGGCCTGGGACTCGAACCTCAGTTGACTACATGGAAGTCCAGTGACTAACCATTACGCCAATTGCTGGTCCCCAGAAATTCCTATTTTAATTCAATTTTTTCCCACAAACTTTCCGAAGCCCTTTTTATGACAGCTCCAGAATAGGTAAATCCGTAGAGATAGAAAATATTAGATTGGTGGTGAGCCAGCCAGTGGTGTGGTGGTGAAGGTGGCTGGATCCCACATCGCTGTCACATGGCTGACTGTGCAGTCTGAGTGCCAGACCCAGTTATGTGTGCATGCGTGTCCAAAACCCCGGGAGGGAAGTGTGGCCATCCCCGACCAAGGTGGTGGTGGTGGTGGTGTGTGCCTCCCCACTGTTCCTCTCTGGCTGGCGCTCAGCCCTATAGCAAACTGAGGAGAAAAAAGAAAAAGGTGGTTGCTAAGGCTGGGGGGGAGGGCGGGGAGCAATTGCTTAAAGGGTGCAAGTTCCTTTTAAAATAACGAATGTTTTGGCACTAGATAGTACTGTAGTTACACCACATTGTGAAAGTAGTGAATGTCACTGATGGTATATTTTATGTGAATTTACATAAGTCCAGAAATATATAAAAGAAGGGCCACCAGGTGGCATAGTGGTTACGGTGTTGAACTTCTACATGGCTAACCAGGGTTCGAGTCCCCGTCCCAGCAGCTTGAAAGTCACTTGGGGCACGTGTGCAGGGAGGGAGGAGAAGGGATTGTGATGGGCTATCTGCCTTGGAAGTGATTTCTCACTTTCTGTCTCACCATCTCTTTCTGTTTCTCTCCACCGGCATGCCCTATGGCCAAAAAAAAAAAAAAATTAAAAAAAAAATACACATATATATATGTTTACACACCCACACACACACACACACACACACACACACAGCGCTTCCCAAGGCCGGACATGAGTCATCATGAGAAGGGTTTCTCTACTGCCACCCAGGTAATTATCTAGGTGATTTCTAACCCCGGAGAGGCTGAAGGAGGCAGCGGACATTGGCGGTTCTCTCGAGCTCGGCTTCTGGCTGGAGCCAGCTCTGGGTTGCCCCGCCTGGCTCACCTGGCTGGCCGCTCCTCTGGCTCTCCAGATCCGGCTTAGCGTCCCAAACCCTGGACACGCCCCCGACGCACTAACCACGCCCACACACTGCCCCCGCCTATCAATCGCCCCTGAGCTCCGCCTCCGCAGTTCCAGGCCGCACCCTCTTTAGGCCCCGCCCTGCCCCTGCCCGTCAACTCACTCTGGCCCCGCCCCGCCTTCCCTTCGTCGTTCGTCTGGCAGGCCTCCGCGCGGCCCGTTGTTATGACGACACGGTCGTAAATCCGCCATCTTCCTGCGGCGCGTTGCGACATGGAGGGCGCGATGGCAGTGCGGGTGACGGCCGCTCATACGGCAGAAGCCCGGGCCGAAGCCGGGCGGGAAGCGGGCGAGGGCGGGGTCGGGGCGGCGGCGGCATTGGCCCCTGGCGGCTTCCTCGGGCTCCCGGCGCCTTTTAGCGAGGAAGGTAACGGGGTAGGATCGGGTGGACGCGGCCGGGGTGGAGGCGGCTCCTTCCGGGCTGGCCGAGGCCCCATGGCCTGAGCTGCGGCCGCGAATGACAGACAGACACTCCCAGACCCCGGTTCCACGCGGACCTCATGAGTCCCCAAGTGTCCCTACTAGCCGACCACGGGCCTTCAGGTTCCTCCGACCCCGTGGGCCCCGGCACGCGCGCACGGGACCGCACAGGTTCCTAGGCTCGGGGCTCTCGCGCTCGTCACCCCGAACGCGGGCCCCCGCTGCCAGGTGCAGAGCCTGGCCCTGCCCTCCTCCGAGCCCCCTCCCACTGACCGGAGGGCCGCTAGGGCTCCAGCAGGGTGCGGCCGGAGGCTCCAGGTGGGCGGGCCCTGGGCTCTGCAGGGCCGGCTCTGGGTGGGCGGTGCGGAGGCAGCAGAGCCCCAGAGAGTTGCGGGGTCCGCTCTGACCTGCTGCTTCTGCCTCTCGATCCTGGACCGGTGACCACACTCTCCGTCTCCATTTTCCTAGCAAAACGGGCGCTGCTCTGAACTCCCGCTGAGGATGGGTACTGTTTAATTTCCATGGGGGTGAGGAACTTCCAGGTTAGGGGTGTGCAAGCGACCAGGGCACCCTGCAAACCTTGGTCGGACGCCAGCCCTGTAACCCTGCGTGGCCCCTGTCCCCCTTGGGCTCTGCCGCCTGGCGGAGGACTGAGAGTTTATTAAAATGGAGTGTGCGTGTGATGTGTGGGGACAGACCTGTGTGTCCTGTTCGTGGGGCCCTAGAGCTTTTGGAGACAGAGCTCAGGTCTTGACCCTCTGACCTTGTCCTTTAGCCTGTAGACTGGGTCTGAGAGGGGGAACGTGATTTGGGGATGATCTTGTCTTTGTCCCTAGGGGCAGGATTTGTCGTCTTTGTACAGTTTTATTGTCTTTTTTCAAACTCTTTTTGAAAGTTTATTTACTAGGACCAGCAGATGGTGTAATGGTTACATTGCTGGATTCCCACGTAGTTGACTGCGGTTCTAGTCCCAGACCTTGCGGCTTAGAACTCACTGGGGAGAATGGGAAGGCAGGTGGTGTAGTGGTTAAAGGCACATGGGGGACCACGGTTCGAGTCCTGGACCTGGCAGCTTCCTTTCTCACTTTCCCTTTCTCTCTGGTCAAATTGAAAAATAGTAATAACAAATGGAATTAAATAAATGAAAAAGAAAAGAAAAACTCATGCCGGATGTTGGGACCAGCAAATGGCATAATGGTTATGTTGGTGTACCTCCACGTAGTCAACTGCAGTTTGAGTCTTGGTTCTGTGAGTCTTGGTTCTGGTGGCTTAAACTCACGCCAGGTGTGTGTGAGTTCATGCCTAAAATCCTGAGAAGAGAACGGAGAAGTGATTTTGGCATGACCATCCCCGCAGGCGGTGATTTCTCACTTTGTCTCTCTCTGGCAGGTGCATGTGCCCTATAGCAAAAATCTCTCTCTAAAAAACCAAAACCAAAAACAAACACATTCTAGGTGCATGCGCTTGTGTGCCCAGAATCCCGAGGGGAGAATAGAGGGGAAGGGATTGTGGTGTGGCCATCCCCCCTTGCAGGAGATTTCTCGCTTTCTTCATCTGTCTGGTGAGCACCCACAATCTATACCAAACATCTCTCTTTAAAAAACAAGTTTGTTTACTTATATATTTTTTCCATGAGCAGAGACAGGTACCCCCAACAGGGTCTGGACGGCAGCCTGGACCATGGGCAGGCATGTGCCCAGAGTGTTCGGGTCTCTGGACGTGGACCTGGAGTGTCCCCATGTGGATCCACCTTGCTGCCATGTTTTACCACTGTGCCACAGTGTACCCCATGGAGATTTTTCTGGTCTCCTCTTATTCCAGCTGGGGGGCAACCAACAGTCTGGAGAGGGGTCCATTTGGAGATTGCTAAGCCTGCCCGTGGCGGTTTCCGAGAAATGGGCTGGGTGACCCCGTCTCGGCAGGGTTCCTTCAGCAGCGGTGCTACTGCTCAGGCTCTGTGCACAGGGAGGGAGTGCTAGGGTGGCGGGCACCTCAGCCCTTGGCTTGTGACTGAGCCAGGGCCTGCCCTGTGTCACGTGGCCTTCGTGGGAGAGTCGTGGCTGTGGTTTGGCCCTTTTTAGCTCATGACTTGTACACACCTTGATGGGGCTCCCTCCATGCACCCAGCCTGGGTTCCACCTTTGTCGGCCTGGGCATGAGGTGGTGGGAACGCCAGCCTTTCCTGGAAGCAGGAGGAGCAGCCCCCGCCCCCACAGTGTGCAAACAGGAGGGTGTCTGGGGCAGATCCTCAGGGTCAGGTTTGGCCCAGCACTCAGCAGCCAGAACCTCGAACCTCCTGTCATTTCTCGAGGGTGGCAGTAGTCATCTCTTCCTTAGGATGCTGGTAGGATTCAGTGACAGCCCCAGTGAGGTGTCTGCCACACAGCAGGGCCTCAAGTCAGGGGGACGTCTGTCCTGCCAGACCTGGGTAGGCATGGTGGTGAGATTCTGACGTGGGGCCTCGGCATCTGCGCCTGAGTCGGGGGCAGCCCTCTGGGGACCAGTGAAGCCCCAAGTCAATGAGAAGAGTGGTGATGGGTGTGGCTGTCCCTGAGCCCGCCGAACCCCCATGTTGCCAACACGTGCCCTGGGCCACTGTTCAAATGAGGAAACAGACTTGGAGGTGGCCACTGAGGTGCCAAGGGCAGACTCCAGCAGCCTTAAATTCTGGCCCTCCTGTCCCCCAGACCAGCTCGGGTGAGCCCCTCCCCTCTGGCCCCTCCCTTCTCGTCGCTGAAGCTGGGGCTCTGGACACGCCAGCCTCCCTAGGTGAGCTGTGCTGCTGTAGGGCTCCAGAGGAGCTGGGGAGTGCCCTGCTCTGATGCCGTCCTTGGTGAGTTGGGTCTGGGCTGGAGGGAGCCCTCTGCAGGCCCTGCTGACAGCAGGCTCGTTGTAGATGAGGACGACGTGCACAGGTGCGGCCGCTGCCAGGCGGAGTTCACTGCCCTGGAGGACTTCGTCCAGCACAAGATTCAGAAGGCTTGCCAGCGGTCCCCTCAGGAGGCACTGCCCGCCGCCCCTGCCCCTGCCACCCTGCTGGGCCAGGAGGTGAGCCCACCCCAATGCCAGTTCACACTCCCCTGCCTGGGCTCACCTGGTGGGAGGAGGCAGCATGCCAGGACAGACCTGTGCGGCTGGTTCCTGGGGCTGTGGGTGAGGGGGTTCCGCGCCGACACCACAAGCCTGCCGGCCCCCCGGGTCTCCTGGACCGTCTCAGCAGTCTCTGCTGAAGCCTGCATGGAGTCAGACAGTCTCCCTGGGCTGGGGGGCCATGGCGGCTCGTGTCTGGTCAGCTGGTCTGGGCTTCTCCAGGTGATCCTGTCTTGTCATAAAAATGGCCATCCTTCTGGAGCCCCGCCACGTGCTTGGGGCCGCCCATACAGTCTTACAGATCCCAAAGCACCCAGCGGGTGGGAGTTGGCATCACCCTTGGTGACA